ATATTGTGTCGATTCGTAACTAAATCTGGAATTTAAAAAAAAATAGCCTTCATTAGTTTTTGAATAAGTCTAAATCACATAGAGTTATCGAGCTCGAGTTGTCACCATTAGAAGAAGCAAGTGAGCGGACATCTATCTATATAAAATTCATAAGGTTTAAATAAATTTTTCATGAATTTTTTTGAACGAACATCTTTTTTGTTATCCATTTAATTAGTTTTCAGAGAAATCTCCGCTCAAATTAAACCGAATTCTAGTCCAAAAAGACTTTCATTCCTAGAAAAATTTTCATAGTTTAAAACCATAACTTTACAGTATTGGTTTAAATTAATTATATAGAGATTTAAAGATTTCACCAGAAATCAAGGTCGTTTTGGACTAGAATTTGATGTGATTTTAGCAAAGCTTGCTCTGAAAACTCATGAAGATGAACAATGAGAAAGATGTTCGGTCAAAAGCGTTCATGAAAAACTTACTCAAATCAGATGAATATTATATGGATAGATGTCCCCACATTTGCTCTTTCTAATGGCGAAAACCAGAGCTCGACAGCTATAAGCGATCGAGAGTTATTCAAAAAATAGTGGAGACTACTTTTTAAAAAATCCGATAATAACTTTTCATCGAAAAAAAACCAACAGTTTAATCAATAGAATTGAAGTCAACGGTTGTACTTAATTATTCGAAGACAAATTCAGGTTTAAATTCATATAGAATACTGTCTTAACCATTTTTTATTAGAAATAATAGAACCCTAATTTTCGAAAAAGTCTTGCAATTAGATCGATTCAAATGATTGTCTTGTCATAGAAACAAGTAAAATCATTTGTATTTCCATTGGACGAACTTTAGACAAAGGCCTTAGCTATCGTTTGTCATAATGTATTATTACTTCCTAGATTAAACCTTCATATCCAACAAATCTCAACAAAAATAAATTTGAGTGTTTCTGGTTCTTAGAGGAATACGAATGAACTGTTCAACTCCGGATTATATGCTGTCTCTTTCCTAAAGCAACATCTATGTGAATTCCTTTCGACAGTTTTATTTACTATATTGAGAATGCAATAAAGCGGCGATAACATCTGCATATCACACGTTACAATTTTCTTAAAAGGAAATTTTTTCTAGAGCTCTGGATCAATCTTCGGCATACAACGTAAGACAGTCGAAAACGATCAAAAGCTTTCTTTGCTATAAAAAAAAACAGATAAATATATTTATCAGCACACAGTATCTAGACTACGTTTACAACTGAGTTTAAGGTACATTCGCAAAGATTCTTATTCGATTTCTTAGCATATACTTTGCCATATAAAATTAAGCTGTGAAGATAAAACTTGCAAACTCGTTTCTATTCCATCATTTAACACTAATCAATAAAGGTAGTCATAGCAATGAATTTCATATAATGGAAAAATAGATTCCTCCTACCACCTGAATGTCCCAGAGATGAAGAAGACTATCGAAACTCATTAGCGACAGCCTCAGCTCACGAGTGATTTACTCATTCAGACTAAACGATAGAATATATGTAACTGTAGCCGATTTTGAGAGGAAACCCTTTCGCACAAAGATCATTTCAATTCATAAACCGAAAACATCATAAATCAATATAAAAATTGATTTCAGAAAATACAGATTTGAAAAAGAATACGATATGAGTATAATTATTGAATCAAAATTTCAAGCACCGTAAGCTCGAATCAGAAAATATCTTGAAATACATTTTCATCTATTATGCAACTAACGAATCTTTTTGATTCCTAGTTCTGACATGCGCCGATAGACGTAAAAATCAAGATGAGACGGATGTTGACTGTGGCGGCATATGTGCAAAAAGAGGAAAGAAATGCAAAGATGGTCAGTTCTGTAAGGAAGCGTTTGATTGCAAAAGCAACGTATGCTCAAATCGTAGATGTGTGGGTATGTGTATTATTGTGTTTAAAAAAACCGAACACTCATTTTGCTCGTGTAGCTTCGATTTGTGTCAATCGTAAGAAAGATCCACCAGAAACTGATGTCGATTGTGGTGGTATATGTACTGTTGGAGGAAAGAAGTGTGGCAATGGTGAAATGTGTAGGGTGCGATCGGATTGCATAAGCAACATTTGCCCAAATCGACGATGTATTGGTAAGTACTTTGTTCTATCTAGACATGGAACATACGCCTTGTTCTGACAACTCCAACATTTAACGAAAGAGTGTGAATACGAGCGTGGGGTGTCGGTGCGGGCAAGGGGGCATTGACGCATTCTCAGCATTCCAAATCCCATGGGAATCCCAAGAAAATCCTGAAATCCAATGGGAATCCGGTCAGAGGCGGCGGAGCGATTCTAATCTATGGGAGGCTCAAAACTTCTTAGGAATGATAGGAAGGTGATGCTCGGGGAGGGATATTTTCTAGCTTTTCCACTTTAACTTTTATCAAGGGATATGGGATGTCTCAATGTGCTTTTGAACAGCATCTATTTGAAATATATACCCTTCTATAGGCGTCTGATATAATCTAGGGGCATTATCGAAAGATGTTCTATGAAAGTTGAGAATCCTTCGTGGTTTATTTTTTTTCTGGAATTTCCAGGATTCATTTTAATTAAAAAATTTCTCTATTTCATAGCATAGAACATAATATAGCTTAACTAAAAATCCATGATTTACAAGAATAAGCGTTCATCTTTCAGATGCTCGTCATCTGAAGTCTTGTCTACTTTTACACACTAAGTTAAAATGTGTCGCATGTATCGTGATTTGCGACACATTAAAGTGCGACACGAGGAGCTCACTGCGACACATTTTCTTCCGCAAGGCCACGACACATTTTGTGCGACACATGCGACACATTTTCTATTGGTTCTTTTGGCAAAGCATATTTCGATTTTTTTTCAATTTAATTCCATTCAATTATTTCTATTCTGAAAACTCAAGCAGGTCAGATCCTGAGATCCGTCCGATCTCGAGTTGGTCCGATTTGCAGGAGACCGCTTCAGGGTAGTTCTCTCTCGATCATGGATCGAGATTAGCATTTTCTCGATAAAAAAAATGATCGAGAAATAATTTAGAAAAAAGAATATTTTGAAAATCTATCTTTCGTATGTTCAACCACGTTGTTTATATATCGCTATGTATGCATAATAGAATGGTGAACGAATAGTCGGCAGACAGAACGCGACAAATTCATATACGACACATACTAAGCAGGACACATTTTTGTGCTGGAGTGCACGACACATAACTGCGACACCTTTAAATTTAGTGTGTATCTTCGGTGTCATATGCTCGTTTTGCCTCAATTTCGTTCAGTTGACGATGAAAGAAGTACCTAAGTACAGGAACTTTCAGAAAAGTTTCGAAAAAATGAAATATAGACTCTGTTGTTGAATTCTCTACAATAATGCATCACAACGTCTTGTCCACCTGTCCTGATGAGTTCTTAGAACAGTGAAAGATAGGATATATAAAACATTGCTATGTTGTATCATGTTGAAATTAATAAAAATATTTTCCATACATAATTTTTCACACAAAAATCTTGAAAATTTGAATCTGTTTTTGAAGAAGCAAAATGTTCTCTTGAGTTGTCTTAATTGATTTTGAGTGAACTGAAAACAAAGACGTGCAAGATAGTATATTTTTCACCCTTCTAAATTAAATTTCCTCCAGTATTTAAATGAGTAATTGTCTGACTGTTCACTTTTAAGTCTTTAAGACGATCTTCAAACACTAAACGTATCATTCTGGTATTACCATTGCATTTAGTAGTGATTTAATATATTAAACTTGGTTTTGATAAAAATTCGGCCTTTTTACTAGCGTTCAGTTTGCTGTTATCGTGAAAAATTAGAACGTGTGATACAGTTTTTCTTTCTCTTCTCCAAATTTATTATCATCAAGCAGGAAAACCTTTTTCTATGAATATTGTGAAGAATTTAATCACATATCTATATAAAAATCCATATCTTTATCATTTTTTTTTAGGATAACAGATGCAAAAAACGGATATTATTTCACACATTAAACTAATGAGACTTTTTAATAGTTATTTCAGACACTGTCGACAACGTATCCTTTGAAAAAAATCAAGATTTTAGCATTTGTTCATGCGAAGATACATGCCATATAAGCTATGTTGGTGACGTTCTGTGACATTCACCCTCAAATTCGGAATGACGTTCCTAAAGTTTTATTAAATATTGAGTCTCTCTCAGATGTTCTTCTTGGTTTTTCACTAAGACTTGAGCTTTCTTAAATGCAATTGGTGTGCCGCTTATCGTGCTATCTAATATGAGGTTGAACATACTATTGTTCAAAGAATTTTCGCATGCTAAATATAAATCCATGCTAAGATCTGTTTATTTTTTTTCAGAATATGAGCCTCCCCAAGCCTCCCCTACCTATTTTCAGGGGAAGCTACAGCCTCCACAAGCCTAATGGCTCCGCCGCCACTGAATCCCGTAATCCTACGGTAATCCCATGGGAATTGCGAGAATCCAGTGGAAATGCCAAAAATATGTGACAGAGATGTTTAAGAACCACTGAAATTATGATTCGTGTTTATACATTACACATACCAACTCATTCATTCATTCAATCTTAAAGCCCATTCCTCTAAGAATACACACTGTAAAAAAAATAGGTACTTTCCTAAACCCTCCAAAAAGGTTTTGTAGGTGTCGAAAAACTTCCAAATGCGTTGAAACGCTCAAAAAAACGATTCTTAAAATCTACGAAACCTTAAAAGGATCTGACCGCGGATACGCGGTCGCAACCATCTCCTACGAAACCTTTTTCAAGTTCCGTAGGAGATGGTTCCGACCGTGTATCTGCGGTCAGGTCCTTTTAAGGTTTGGTAGATCTTAAGAGTCGTTTTTTGAGCATTTCAACGCATTTGGAAGTTTTTCGACACCTACAAAGCCTTTTTGGAGGGTTTATGAAAGTACATATTTTTTTTACAGTGCAATGTGAAGGCTTTGGAAATAAGTTATTATTAAATAAGACATCACATTCTTTTCACAATCCGTGCATCAAAAGCTAAATAAGAACCAATATTGTGAAAGTCTTGACAAATCGCAAAAATCTCTAGTTTTGATTGAGAATATAAAGAAATAGTTTCGGATGAAACAAATTGCAAGCTGGAATGACGAAATATCTAACTTTAGCGAACCATATATTGGCATTACACGAGCTTTCTCTTCTTACGTGAATTAAGGAGAAAACAAAAGAGCATGTGATACATGTTTATCAGTTAGAAAATCTGAAAGCTGAGCGTACCGAAACATTTTTCAAGTGTTTCTGTTTCATATTTTCTTTCCACCAGGGTGTTGGTGTGGATGTGGAAACAATAGAAACACACACCCACACATCCACACTCCTCCAAGTAGGTTAAGCGTTTACAATTATCAAAGAGGGAGTACTTTTCCTCAGTAGTTTAATACGGACAGTCTAGCTGGATAGTAAGGTAGTGAAGCCCTCAACGTGAGATCTACGAGATTTTCGGAACTGCAAACAGGATAACAGAGATTAAACAAGGATTTCTAGAATGCAAATTGGTATGATAAAATTTCTGGAAACTCATGGAAATTTCGGAAGCGCATGAAAGTGCCACGAATCTTGCGGAATCTTGAAAATTCCATGAAATTCCTGATAATCCGTTGTGCTTCCAGGAGTTTTCTTAGAATTCCGAGGTTTTCTTGGAGATCATGGAATTCCGAAAATTGCATTAGAATCTGAGGAATCCCATGAGAATCTCATGGAAATGCAGGAATTCTGGAAATGCGGAATCCGCAGATTCCCCATTGGGTCTCGTAGTGTTTCGGTGGGTTTAATCATATCTTGACAAAAATATGGACAACAATAATCTCATCCACTGAAAAGGAAGGGATGAAAAAGACAGACAAGAATACTTTGTTGCAACGAAAAGTAAACGTTGCTAAGATGCTTTTAGCTCCCTTTTGGTATAAAAAAGCATGTTTTGCGGGTAAAGAAAAGCGCGATTCGATATGCAAAGAACGCAGTTTAAGAAGTTTGGCTCTTAAGTGGTAAAAGACGTTTCAAAGGAAGACTTTGCTCCCATAAAAACCTGCCACTGTTTTGAAGGGGCATATGTTGATTTTCAAGCGTGTAATGTCTGTGATCTGTCACTACTCTCGTATAACTTGTCCCAGTAGATTTGATTATAAGACCTTGAAGGGTGTGGGTGTGAGTAAACGACAGGAATATCATTCCCACTCACAATACCCACATCCAGTAGACAAAAAGTAAATGACAGACATCCTTCAAGCTCGTCGGATATTGAGATTCATTTTTCATTCTTCAGATCCATTATGAATGTTAGGGAAGCACATTTTGCAATGAAACCAGGACAAACGTATTAGAAGTTACAATGCACTATTTAGAATGAATTAAATATAAGAAACACTACTCATCCTTTTTTTGTTATATATATGGCTCATAGACAGTCTCAAAACCTTGACTTCACAATTAATTTCCTTTTTCTGCCTTGGACAAAAACTTCCGTTCAAATAATATCCAGAATCGTTACTAACAAATGTTTCTGAACAGAAAGATCGTGTTGAAAAATTTAAAGCTCTAGTTGAAAAATATAAGATCTTCCTGTTTCAGAAAAGAGGCAAAATACTTTTAGGGCTTTATCTCATGCTCTTTTGTCCTACAGCAGTCAAACAGACGAAAACCCAATTCTTTTTCATTTCGTACATATTATGCAAAATGGAAGCCCTTCATTCGAATTTTATTTTATATTTAATAGGTGTCTTAGAAATTTTCATTGTATTGAATGTTATATGGAAAAGACGAAAGCGGTTTTACAAAACATTGACCGTGATTAGTAACAAGACAGAAGAAGCATTTTACTTTACAAATTCATTTAGAGTATTAGATCTGGGGAGAATATATATTCATCTATTTCGTACCAAAATGAGTATTGAGATTTTACAAAAATTGAAAAAGAACTTCTAACTACTAATAATTACTCTCAAATTTTCGTAAAAATTAATAAGCTTATTTCATGTCTTGATTTTATCGGAGAAACATCCAATTTTTTTCAATGAAAAGACATATTATGGGCGTTAATTTCTTTCAAAAGTATCTACTTGCTTAAACAGAGCGATAAAAGAAGATATTATGAGCAGTTTTGATTAATTAATCTTGTTTTTATTGATTACTATTGTTATCTTAATCACTTCAATATCTAAATAGCAGGCAATTTTCTTTATTGGAGAAAAATATTAACTTCTACCCTTGAACAAATATATGTTCATCTCAATTTTGTTGAATACAAATGTTTGCATTTAGCAACAACTTCAACAACGACCACCAGAACACCAACGCCAGGTAATATATCAATTTCTTTCATCAAAACCGATCTTTTTTTACTGAAGTTGATCTGTTGGTAATATCTTTCCTTTCTTTTCTTTAACCGTAAGACATCTTCTTTATTACACGAACAGCGATGCCTTAGAAAATTTTGTTTCATAAATAGAAAACTTTTGTTTTAGACACAGTGGAGGCAGAGTTCATATTAACCATGTCAGAATCATTTTTCATTCGGTGAAATCTATAGTTTCCCATCCATACCTGAGCGTTTTAAACGTTTTAACAATATGCGTCTTTCTCAAACTGAATTAAAGAAATTTGTGCTCATAGGATGGACGAACACTGGCAGTATGAATATTGCTCGAACCCAACATACAGCATCTGTTTTACCCAATGGAGAAGTATTAGTTGCTGGTGGGCTAGGTACAGGTAGTATTTTGAATAGCGCTGAGTTATATGATCCATCAACAGGAATGTGGAAAAGCACTGGCAATATGAACACTGGTCGATATATGCACACAGCATCTGTTTTAGCCAATGGAAAAGTATTAGTTGCCGGTGGGTACGCTCCAGGTAGTACTGTGAATAGCGCTGAGTTGTATGATCCATCAACAGGAACGTGGGCAAATACTGGCAATATGAGGACTCCTCGAGAGTTCCACACAGCATCCGTTTTAGCCAATGGAAAAGTATTAGTTGCTGGTGGGTCAGGTACAGATAGTTTTCAGAATAGTGCTGAGTTATATGATCCCTCAACAGAAATGTGGACAAACACTGGAAATATGAGTACTGGTCGACAGTGGCATACAGCATCTATTTTAACCAACGGAAAAGTATTAGTTGTTGGTGGGTCCAGTACAGATTTTGATTTGAGTAGCGCTGAGTTATATGATCCATCAACAGAAATGTGGACAAACACTGGAAATATGAGTACTGGTCGACAGCAGCATACAGCATCTATTTTAACCAACGGAAAAGTATTAGTTACTGGTGGAGCCGATATAATTGATATAATGAATAGCGCTGAGTTATATGATCCATCAACAGGAATGTGGACAAACACTGGCAATATGAACACTGGTCGATATATGCACACAGCATCTGTTTTAGCCAATGGAAAAGTATTAGTCGCTGGTGGATACGGTAATGGTAGTATTTTGAATAGCCCTGAGTTATATGATCTATCAACAGGAATGTGGACAAACACTGACAATATGGGTTCTGCTCGAGAGTTCCATACAGCATCTGTTTTATCCAATGGAAAAGTGTTAGTTACGGGTGGAGTCAATGCAAGTGTTATGCTCAATAGCGCTGAGTTATATCAAAAGTATTAAACAAATAAACAATAAACATATTTTTTCTCTTTTTCCTTAATGAATCTTGCTTTCAAAAACTAACTTAACATTAATATTATTTTAATCAATTAACAATCCAATTTTCCTTTATAATTTCTCATGCATTCCTCGTATATTACTAAATTCACCTTCCACGTCTTGATAAAGTGTATAAATTAATGAATTTAAAAACACATCAATCCCTATCTTTAGAATGTGATTTAGTTTCCAATATCTTAATTTCATCCCGGCTATAGGAATCATCAGGGTGTAGGTGTGGCTGTACAATTACCATGAAATTGTAGTTTTTCGATTTTGTTCAGAAAAATTATCAAGTGACAAGTATATCTTTTATAGGTTCAAAAATGTAAGAATTTTGCAAATCAAATACTGAATACTTTAAAAGACTTGCTACTCGAAAGCAGAAGATCTTTTATCTATCTCCACGGTATAGATCGAGACGTGTATAGCTGACGAGGGAGGGTCTCCAAATGATCAATCGCTTTTGCGTCGAGGCTATGCGCATTATGTAGATACAAATGAGCTATGAATATCCTAAAAACGTTTGGGCTGCTAGCTCGTTGGTAGGAAGATACTGCACTTTTACCGTATGCTTTTAAATGAATGCCGTGGTCCCCCTCAGGATCACCAGAAAAAATGATTTTCGAATTTCCACTGGAAACTTTACCTAGAAACAGACTTTACTGGGAATAGTATTTTGTGAAGGTTTCAGATCTTTTGATTTGTTCCTATCCTGAAATGAGAGCATGAAATCTTCTGATTTATCCGAATGAAGTTATCATATCTGTATCGACGGATAGCAACAGCAAAAAAATCTGAAACTTTCACAAAATACTATTCTCAGTAAGGTCTGCTTCTACGTAAAGTTTCAAGTAGAAATTCGAAAATCATTTTTTCTGGTGTTCCCCTGAGGGGGACCACGGCATTCATTTAAAAGCATACGGTAAAAGTGCAGTATCTTCCTACCAACAAACTAGCAGTCCAAACTTTTTTTAGGGTATTCATAGCTGATCCATACCTACATAATGCACATAGTCTCGACGCACAAGCGATTGATCAGTTGGGGACCTTCCCTCGTGAGTCCATCCGGTTTACCCTTTCTCTCGGAAACGATAGCAGCATTTTATATTTTCGAATTACGTCCGTTCTTCCATATTTTTGTCAATACTTTTTCTATATGATGTTATATTATCTGTAGATTTTTAAGAACTATAGATAGAATCAAGAGTACTATAGCAATCTTAGAGGTAATAGATGGATCTCTAAAGTCGAACCAGGGACAGCCACTTGAACTGCTATATCAGTCCAAGAAATGATGTCTAGTGTGCATCAAATAATTGTTCCAGTGAGTCTACTAAAAATTCGTCCGATTACGCATTTTATATCTACAGATAATACAAACTTGGCAGTGGCAACTTGCGTGTCTTTCTTTTCAGTGCTTTCAGAACATGAGATAAAGGTAGCCCTCACTGTGTACACAAAAAAGAGCATTGGTCGTGGTTCTGCGGGGTGGGGGGGGGGGGGGGGGGGCGACGCGCCTACACGCCGCGCCGCTCATATAAAAGATCGCTTACGTGGGCAATTCTTTTATAGGCCTGTCATTAGACATGTACCAAACTCGAATCGTTTGAGCTCGAAAATTTTGGGCTCGACTCGATTTGAACTCGAAGTCGATCTCGAAAACAGAGTGTGGGTGAGTGTATGTGTGGGTGCGGGTGAGTGTGGATGTGGGTAGATGTGGGGTGTAGCTTGAGGGTGTGTGGGTGTGAGTATGAGGTGTGGGTGGGGTGGAGTTGGTCTTCTCTAAATACACATTCACACCCCACACCCACACCCATCCACACCCACGTCCACCGACACCCACACACCCACACCCGCACCCGCACCCGCACTCACACCCACACCCACACCCACACCCACACACCCACACTCACACCGCCACCCACACCCACACCCACACCCACATCCACACCAACACCCTCAAGACTACAGTGAAGAGCTGTGAGAGTCGTCGTCATTCTTATCGTAGGAACTCAACAAACAAATGATAGCAATGTTTATCAAGGTTTTTTCGTCGACTTCATATTCAAGTAAAAAGCAACAATGCATTAGACTAGTTGTCAGTCATGTAGATAAGTTTCTTGTGGATGCATTTTAATGATTAGATAGATCATTGATTATAATAAAATTGAAGTGAAAGTAGAAAACAAATTATTCTCAAGAAAAATAATAAAGACATACCAAAAAATGGCACACATAAGACCACCGCTGGGGATAGATATGTCCACTAGTGGACCGAGCGAAACACCAAAGCGTTCTAAGCGAGTTAAAGGTACAAGAGCATAGGGGCTAAGACGCGATTGCCGAGCATGATAACTCTGTTTTTTTCAAATAATAAGCGAAGATGAAAGAAGCAATATCCCCCCATAAGCGGGAAAGTGCTTTGGGTGTGGTTTTGGGTGAGGGTGAGTGTGTGGGTGGATGTGGTGTGCGGAGTGGGTGTGAGTCTTCTATTTACCAGCACTCTCATCCACATCAACATCCACTCACACACACCTACAACCACACTCTGAAGATAGTAAAGGAAAAAACAAAAGGGCACCAGGAAAAAACCCAAATGAAACAAAAGGAATGATAAAGCTTTGATTAACGACACACTTGAATATAAGTGTGAATAAAGAAAGAAACGAGAACAAACATATACTAATACTATCTGTAGTGTATTATTTTTCTGAGGGTATGCTTTATATGGGCAACGATTAGATAAGCTCACTCATTTTAAATTGGTTGTTCTCATTTACTTGTTCATTTTCTTTCGACTTCTGATTTATCCGATACGATGAATCTGGAAAAAAACAGTTGTCTTATATCTTCCCCAAACTTGTGCAAAATTTTCTGCCTCTGTTTTCAGTAATTTCCTTCGTTATTCAATTGATTAATTGCAAGCTATAATTTTAGTTTCTAAAGTGGTACATGGCAAACGATCTTCAAAGTCAATTTTGGATTGAAAGAGAAACTTTTATCGATCAAAGATGCATTTTTCTAGAGATTTCACCTACTGCATATATGACAGCAGCAACGTATGTCTATTTTACTTTGCTTTTTTGAGAGACGATCTAATATTCTGCTTTACAGTGATATATACAACTATATTACAAGCTACTCAGCACCTACAACCCAATCCCAACAAAGTTCGGGAAGTAGACGTTCTACAGAAAAACACACTGTTAGAAATGCACGGGAGCTATACTGTCATATGGAGACTTATCTGCAAAGCAGATTAAAGAGTATAGTTGAAGTAAGCTCTTTTTCCATTTCAATTGAAGAAAACAAATAATAAATCTTTATAAATGACGCTAATTTATCTAGAAAAGGTTTATACGATATTGTTATTCAAATTTATTATAGAATGCCAATCATATAACAGATGAAGATTTGCTTCGACTTTACGAAAAACATTTTTATAATTATGCAGGATCGTGTGTTATATTGAGTGGTGTTTATCTGCATGTCGAGAATTATTACATCCAAAGAGAACACTACAGGGATATAAGATATGGTAATGCAATTAAGGAGGTATGTTACAGATAGTTCTTATCTCTTTACAAATCTCTTCAATATTTAGTTTACTAAACATATTTGGGAAGAGACGTTTTTCAAACCAATATTTCCACGTGTGGCACAAGCATGTTTAAATTTAATGAAAGAACATCATAACAATAACTCTCACGTTGATATGAAATTAATTAAGAACTTTATTGATTCATGCTGTATGTAAGCAAAAAATACAAAACACTCTCTTTTGTTATTTACGGTTAAAATTTTCTTTTAGTGAACGAGAATTTTTCTCATAAAATAAAAAAATTAATCGATAGCAATTTGAGTAGCAAACCAATTACTGATATTTATGAGCATTATTTTGAAACTCAATTTCTTCAAGATGCAAAGGATTTTTATCGTCAACAAAAGCTTCCATATGTTGAATTAAATTCGATCATAGAAAATCTTACTCAAGTAAATCTCTTTAATTTAATCATAAAACTTGATATTAAAATTTGACTCAATAATTAAGATATTAAAATATTTTGATCAAGAAATAAACTTTGTGAAATCTTTTTTACCGGAATCGAAATCTACGATGTCAATGTATATCAATTTATTAGAAGAAATCTATCCTCATGATCATGACCTTAATATTATCAAAGATAAAATGGAACCAATCATGTTGGCTGAGGACAGTTCAGGTAAAGTTTTTTTTCTGATGAATAATAAATAACTGTGTCTTTATATGAAATGCAGAGTTTTTGCACCTAAGCAAACTGGCCAGTCGAATTCCGAGAGTAAAGAACGAATTATTACAAATGATTGAAAATCATATTTATAAATTCGGTACGACTGCTCTTGATCATATTAGTGAAAATGCAATTAATGTAATATTTAAATATTTTTTTCGTAATTTTTATCATCTTCTTTTCTACATTAGGATCCAATATTGTACATCAAAACAATAATTGATATACGACAACAATTCTTATCACGTTTCTGTATTGAACCAGGTTTCAATATTGCATTAGATAAAGTAGATTTATATATATATATATAGATAGATATATATATGAATTTGCATTTATTATTAAAATAATCTAGGCTTGTTCTAAATTTATAAATAACAATGATGTAAAAACAAAATCAGTTGAACTATTAGTTCGATATTATGATAAACTTTTAAAGGAAGGGTTTGTTTTATTTCATCCGAATATATTAAAAATTAATGAATTGAATCCTCTAGAAATAAAACTATGGAGGAAGGTATTCTTCAGGAAAACTTCGATCATGCATGGGTACTATTTAACTATATTGTTTTCAGTAATATTACACTATTCTAAAACGTGTTCATATTAAGTATATTTATGAAATTCTTTGTTAGAATAAACGTTTGTCTTAACTAGAATACTTGAATCTAATAAAGTTTCACAGTTTTTTCAAGCCCTTTAAAATCCTGAAATCGATCGTTTTCTCTAATCAGTTCTACTATTTTTAATATGTAGAAAATTTAGAAAACAATATGAAGAAGGAATTATACTTAAATGAATACAGTTTTTAGCAATTCTTAGTTGAATTGATAAATTTTTTGTCAAAAAAAATAATTTTTATCTTTTGTTGAGTGAACAGTATAATTTAAAGTCTTTCTCATTAATAAGTTATAATGTTACTTATGATTATGATGATATGACTATGCTACCTCTTTGTCGTATGATACATTTCCAAAAAATTAACTCTGTTTTTTCATATTCAAAATCGAAATACCTGCATCGTTAATATTACTACAATTTATGATTACAATGTTTTTGTTCTTTATGTATATTCGGGGAACATTTATTTCCATTGACATTTACTTGTTTGAAAAAGATTTTCCAATTATTGTATTCGATTAGGGTGTGAGTGGGTGTCGGTGTTGGTGTGGGTTGGGGTTAGGTGGGTGTGGGCGTGGGTGTGAGTATTAGTTAGTGTAAAATCACTCCACACTCACACCCTACATGATCAGAAGCAAAAAGTTTTTGTAGCATTAAAAATGAAGGAATAATAGAGGAAAGAAGACAAAAGTAGAAAAACCATAATTGATTCATTCATTCTAACTCTATTAGAGTTACAGAGAAATCTCTCACGTAGAAGCTAATATACAACGGAAAACTACTAGGCCATGTATGCTTTTATCGAAGATGCGTAGTTTGATTCTTCTGTGGTAATCTCTTGTCGTATTGTCTGCCGCATACATGACACCATGTTGGGCGCTGGTTGGTTTGGCAATATATTCCTGCTTTGCGTGATGTCAGGTCTCTATTATACTATCGTTAACCCTCAAAACACGCTCCTGAAAGAATGTCGGGACAAGTTTCGAGGATAAGGTGGTCATCTCATGAATGTCTTCGAAGAAGTTGCGAAAATTTATTTAAACATTCTCTGACTGAGACAACAGATAACAAAAAGCATAGAAGGAGGAGAAGGCAAATTTCTATTGGTGGCTCTTTCTTATCATGTTTACATGTGGAATGCCACAATTGTCGTATTCGCCGCTGATCACGCGAAAGCCCAAATGTTCATAGAATGGAATAGCACGAGTTTGAGCACTGATCACTTGTGTCTTCATTCCTCGCCGTTCTGCTTCCTTGATCGCACCCTGCATTAGTCGTTCACCAACTTTCATTCTGCGATACTCCGGCAAAACAGCCACACGTCCAATGTGACCGTCATCCAATAAGCGCGCAGTTCCCAGTGGTTTACCGCTTTTGCTGTCTTCAGCAAGAAAGTGTTGGCAAACAGCATCGTTTTTATCCCACTGGAGTTCTTCGGGCACATTTTGTTCTTCAATGAAGACAGTTCGGCGGATGAAGCGTAATGCTACTTGGTCTTTCTCCCAGTCTGCTAAACGTATTATACAAGAGTTAGCAACAGTCATCAGTGAATCTAGAAAATAAATGATGTCAAAAAATTCTCGTATTTCAGGATGTTCACATAAAAACACAAAGCAAAATTTCGTGTATCTTCTGCAGAATGTTGTTCATAAACCTGATTTCATTCTATTTGTGTGCTTCGTCAACCTGTCTCCAAAAGATGAGAAAGAAAGTTCAAATTTGAACTCATAAGTATTAGCTCTAATATGTATAGAACGAAAGAGACAAGCAGTGACACTGATGTTATGTGACAGAACGATGAAAAATATGACCTTCATGGGAATCGAACCCATACCTCCTGCTATCCGGGCAGTTGTCCTAAGCCAATTAGACTAGAAGGCGCATCTTACTCATCGTTTAGCGTCCAAGTAATTCATCATGGACGCTTACAATAAGAAATGCATTTCATCTAATAGTTAAGATCGAGAACGAATATAGCCATCTGACATTTATGATTGGAAAAAAAAAGGATAAGAATCTCCTAGTTTCCACACACACATGGCGACTATGTGTACTCTGAAAAAAAGAAGATTTGCAGATCCTTTTTCTAGGTTCTGCGGTCGGGTAAAACACAGAACCCTTCGAAAAGGTTCTGCCTAAAATTGGGTTCCACGAAAAACCAACGGAACCACTTATTCTATGTTTTCATAATGGTTCAGCACAAGATATCAGATTTAAAATGGTCTTCATACAACTCCTGTGCGAACCCACACTAGATTCTGTACGTCCGCGATCCATCGATCACATACAAGTCTCTTCCGTCACTATTCGAAAACTCACATATAGAAGGTTCAAATGAGTGCCCGCAATCACATCACAATTCCAAAAATACTTCTATTTTTCACATACATGCACTAACGTAAGGAAAGTACCAAGACGAGCATAAAAGTAAAGAAAACCTTATATTCATTTTTCATTTCCGTTAAGTAATTACCGTGTGCATGATGCCAATATAAATTGAAATGAAAACAAATAATCTTCTCCATGTGAATACATTTTGGTAAGTATAGCTATCAGATCATGATAAACATAAAAATGAAAAAAGAAAAACAAAAGCTTTATCTATATTTCATTTGAAATGTATACTTACCCTTTGGATGATGTCAATATGAGTTGAAATGAAAACGAATCTTATTGTTTTCGTTGTTAACGCATTTACGTTGTAATACAGATCAGATCACAATGAATAGAAAAATGAAAAAAAAAACACGAAAATATTTATTTTTCATTTCAATTGACGACTTACCATTTATATGATGCCAATATCAATTGAAATCAAAAGGAATATTATTGTTTTCCATCTGAATACATTTTCGTTAGGATAGTACTGAAGTGAAGATAAAGATAAAAATAAAAAAAGTGAAAACGGCTGCTTATCTGGTGCTTGAAATATATTATTTAGGATACGTAGGATGTCAATTTAAGTACAAGTGAAAACGAAATTATTGTTGTTGTGGGATGTATTGAAGTTGCTGTGGTCACAAGATGAACGGAAGGAGAAATAAAAACTAGTGAATATTTATTTTCGCGTTCCATTTTAACTGAGTTCTTATCTTATGTGTATAGGAAGTTAAACGAAAGGAGAAGTCTCATTTTTTTAAATATTTAATCCACGAATAACGTGAATTGATATGAATATCAGTGATGAAGAAAAAGTGGATTGCTTTCGTATAACCTATCGGTGAGACCGATTGCATGAGAGTCCCGATAAATGAAAATTCTTGTTTGTTTGGTTTAGTATCATGTGTTTTATTTCTGACGGATACATATGGATGCTTATAGGGTGTGGGTGTGGAAGTGTGGGTCAAAATGTCGCATAGTTATATCCACACCGATACACCCACACCCCACACCCACACCCGCGACAAGTTTTATTGATTTAACTCGTATGCTATACTGAAATATATATATAAAAAAAGCAGAATAATATATGAAGATATAACTCACATCGTCGATATTCATCTGCTTGATAGTTGAACAAAATTTAAAGTTGTACAAGAATGTCTACTTTTTGGTTCATGATAATATTCTTGGTTACTAGCAGCGTATCAGGTAAAGATCAATTTCTTTTAATACATAACATTATAATCAGTTCTACAAAAGAGTTCAATTGATGAATATTAGGACATTCGTCTAGATTTCTCTATCAACCTATTTAAATTCATTATAGAGTCGAGTTTTGTTCAATTTAATTAATTAACGTAATTCTCAAGTAATTTTACCTGAAGATTAATGTTTACAAAGAATAGACGGAAGGCGTCACCAAATGCACTAGCTATAACATTTAAAGACTTCGTTTCAAAGAAAGAAGTTTTTCAAGTATTTAATCCTGATTGAACTTTCCAGGTGCTGCACTTTTACATGCTTTTGCAATCATAGGAAATTGAACATAGAAAAAAAAAACTCTCAAAAAGACTTTCTGAAGATTAAATGAGTTATGTTCAATTCTTGCTTGATACTTATCATCTGAAAAATGTTTGGTGTAAGGCAAAAAAGTTTAGCCTATTCTCAAGCCTATATAGTTCTAGGTGCTGTATAGCTTACTTCCAATAACGTTTTTTTTAAATACAATACACAGCATCATATTGTGTGCTGCCAACCAATCGTTTTATCAAAAAAGAACCTCTTCTTAGAAAATACCTCCTTTCTGACAAGAGAAAGTAATTTGGATAATGTTTTATAGATAAAGAGATTACGATACAATAGACTCACTATCCTGCCTTGATTGATATACTGACGAGGGAACATTTTCAACTGTCCAATCCCTTTTGAGTTGGGACTTTGTGCAAAAGATAGACCCAAGTGAGGTATGAAAAATCCCAAAATGATACGCGCTGTTAGGCCTTCTGTCCAAAGTTATAGGCATTTTACTAGAATTTTGGCCTATCGTATGGTATATACCAATAAATCGAATGACGGTATTTCGACCTAAGATTTTGCCCACAGACAGGTCTATTTATGAGTAGAATACCTTGAAAATTTCAGCTGAAAAGAACGTCTCCTTCCCGAGATATTAATGTCCCAAAAAACAGAAAATTCTAGCATTTTTTGTAGTATATGAGTCATTTTTGGAACTTTAATATCTCGGGAAGGAGACATTCTTTTCAGCTGAAATTTTCAAGGTATTCTACTCATAAATAGACCTGTCTGTGGGTGTGGGGTGTGGGTGTGGGTGTGGGTGGGTGTGGGTGTGGTGTGTGGTGTGTGGGTGTGGGTGGGGTGTGGGTGTAGGTGTGGGTGTGGGCGTGGATGTGGGTGTGGGTGTGGGCGTAGGTGTGGGTGTGGGTGTGGGTGTGGGGTGTGGGTGTGTGTGAGGTGTGGGTGTGGGTCATCTGTTCACCAACACTTACACCCACACCCACACCCACATCCACACCCTGTTGGACAAAAAAAAACTAGG